GATTAATGATTCAATATGATGTCGATAACATTAGTGGTGACATTTTAGGGTATTCTCGATAGATTACACTTAAAAAAATATGTATGAATTTGGGTTCTATAAGTCGACTTTCGATCTATCGACTTCCTCTCACAAAATGTCTCAGCCGACTATTTTGTTGTAACAAGTCGACTATTGCAAGACAAAAGACGAAAAACCTATTTATTTTTTATAACCAAAATTTGAAAAGGTCCTAAATTTTAAAAGATACTGTTAACAGCGCGAATTTCAACATTTGATATGCTATGATGTATTACTTCTACATTTACTGATTTAAAAGATAAATTCTTAAGTTAATAAAAAAATATTACTTTAATTACTGTTTTTAATGTACATTTACAAAACGTATTTGTAAAATATCACTGTGTGAAGATTTTATATATAATAAATCCAAAAGCGGAAAACCATGTTAAAAAAAATATTACATATGCCAATTTTGTACAGCAAGGTGATGCCTGCGATCTACTATTGTTATAATTACTATTATCAAATGAATGATCGAAAGAGGAATCATTGTGAAAATGATGAAAATAATTTGAATCATTATTATTGGTAATATCATAAGATGTATGATCTGACGTATGACAAGTACCGCTATCAAATCCTCCACCGCTATCGCAACCGCCACTATCAAACCCTCCACCACTATCGCATCCACAATCGGACATTTTTATAGACTGTTAAGTTTTTCTCTGAAATGACAAAGATAAAAATAAAGAAATTATTAAAATAGATATAGATAGATAGATAGATAGATAGATAGATAGATAGATAGAGATAGATAGATAGTAGATAGATAGATATAGCTAGATAGATCGATCGATATAGATACTCGCTCGCTCGATCCTCGCTCGCTCGCTCGCTGCTGCTCGCTCGCTGCTAGCTCGCTGCTCGCTCGCTCGCTCGCTCGCTCGCTCGCTCGCTCGCTCGCTCGCTCGCTCGCTCGCTCGCTCGCTCGCTCTCGCTCGCTCGCTCTCGCTCGCTCGCTCGCTCGCTCGCTCGCCTGCTCGCTCCGCTCGCTCGCTCGCTCGCTCGCTCGCTCGCTCGCTCGCTCCTCGCTCGCTCCGCTCGCTCCTCGCTCGCTCGCTCGCTCGCTAGCTCGCTCGCTCCTCGCTCGCTCGCTCGCTCGCTCGCGCTCGCTCGCTCGCTGCTCGCTCGCTCGCTCGCTCGCTGCTCGCTCGCTCGCTCGCTCGCATCGCTCGCTCGCTCGCTCGCTGCTCGCTCGCTCGCCTCGCTCGCTCGCTTCGCTCGCTCGCTCGCTCGCTCGCTCGCTCGCTCGCTCGCTCGCTCGCTCGCTCGCTCGCTCGCCTCGCTCGCTCGCTCTCGCCTCGCTCGCTCGCTCGCTCGCTCTCTCGCTCGCTCGCTCGCTCGCTCGCTCGCTCGCTCGCTCGCTCGCCTCGCTCGCTCGCTCGCTCGCTCGCTCGCTCGCTCGCTCTCGCTCGCTCGCTCGCTCGCTCGCTCGCTCGCTCGCTCGCTCGCTCGCTCGCTCGCTCGCTCGCTCGCTCGCTCGCTCGCTCTCTCGCTCGCTCGCTCGCTCGCTCGCTCGCATCGCTCTGTCTGCTCGCTCGCTCCGCTCGCTCGCTCGCTCGCTCGCTCGCTCGCTCGCTCGCTCGCTCGCTCGCTCGCTCGCTCGCTCGCTCGCTCGCTCGCTCGCTCGCTCGCTCCTCGCTCGCTCGCTCGCTCGCTCGCTGCTCGCTCGCTCGCTCGCTCGCTCGCTCGCTCGCTCGCTCGCTCGCTCGCTCGCTCGCTCGCTCGCTCCTCGCTCGCTCTCTCGCTCGCTCGCTCGCTCGCTCGCTCGCTCGCTCGCTCGCTCGCTCGCTCGCTCGCTCGCTCGCTCGCTCGCTCGCTCGCTCGCTCGCTCGCTCGCTCGCTCGCTCGCTCGCTCGCTCGCTCGCTCGCTCGCTCGCTCGCTCGCTCGCTCGCTCGCTCGCTCAGCTCGCCTCGCTCGCTCGCTCGCTCGCTCGCTCGCTCGCTCGCTCGCTCGCTCGCTCGCTCGCTCGCTCGCTCGCTCGCTCGCTCGCTCGCTCGCTCGCTCGCTCGCTCGCTCGCTCGCTCGCTCGCTCGCTCGCTCGCTCGCTCGCTCGCTCGCTCGCTCGCTCGCTCGCTCGCTCGCTCGCTCGCTCGCTCGCTCGCTCGCTCGCTCGCTCGCTCGCTCGCTCTCGCTCGCGCTCGCTCGCTCGCTCGCTCGCTCGCTCGCTCGCTCCTCGCTCGCTCGCTCGCTCGCTCGCTCGCTCGCTCGCTCGCTCGCTCGCTCGCTCTCGCTCGCTCGCTCGCCGCTCGATCGCTCAGCTCGCTCGCTCGCTCGCTCGCCGCTCGCTGCTCGCTCGCTCGCTCGCTAGCTCGCTCGCTCGCTCGCTCGCTCGCTCCTCGCTCGCTCGCTGCTCGCTCGCTCCTCGATCGCTCGCTGCTCGCTAGCTCGCTCGCTCGCTCGCTCGCTCGCGCTCGCTCGCTCGCCTCGCTCGCTCGCTCGCTCGCTACGCTCGCTCGCTCGCTCGCTCGCTCGCTCGCTCGCTCGCTCGCTCGCTCGCTAGCTCGCTCGCTCGCTCGCTCGCTCGCTCGCTCGCTCGCTCCGCTCGCTCGCTCGCTCGCTCGCTCGCTCGCTCGCTCTCTCTCGCTCGCTCGCTCGCTCGCTCGCTCGCTGCTCTCGCTCTCCTCGCTCGCTCTCGCTCGCTCGCTCGCTCGCTCGCTCGCTCGCTCGCTCGCTCGCTCGCTCGCTCGCTCTCGCTCGCTCGCTCGCTCGCTCGCTCGCTCGCTCGCTCGCTCGCTCGCTCGCTCGCTCGCTCGCTCTCGCTCGCTCGCTCGCTCGCTCGCTCGCTCGCTCGCTCGCTCGCTCGCTCGCTCGCTCTCTCGCTCGCTCCTGCTCGCTCGCTCGCTCGCTCGCTCGCTCGCTCGCTCGCTCGCCTCGCTCGCTGCTCGCTCGCTCTCCTCGCTCGCTCGCTCTCGCTCGCTCGCTCGCTCGCTCGCTCCTCGCTCGTCGCTCGCTCGCCTTCGCTCTCGCTCGCTCGCTCGCTCGCTCTCGCTCGCTCGCTCGCTCGCTCGCTCGCTCGCTCGCTCGCTCGCTCGCTCGCTCGCTCGCTCGCGCTCGCTCGCTCGCTCGCTCGCTCGCTCGCTCGCTCGCTCGCTCGCTCGCTCGCTCGCTCGCTCGCTCGCTCGCTTCGCTCGCTCGCTCGCTCGCTCGCTCGCTCGCTCGCTCGCTCGCTCGCTCTCTCGCTCGCTCGCTCGCTCGCTCGCTCTCTCGCTCGCTCGCTCGCTCGCTCGCTCGCTCGCTCGCTCGCTCGCTCGCTCGCTCGCTCGCTCGCTCGCTCGCTCGCTCGCTCGCTCGCTCGCTCGCTCGCTCGCTCGCTCGCTCGCTCGCTCGCTCGCTCGCTCTCGCTGCTCGCTCTTCCTCTTCCTGCTTTTTCCCTTGTTTCCCTCCGCTTTTTTTCTCCCCCTCTCTCTCCCCCCCCCCCTTTTCCCCTCCCCTCTTCCCTTTTGCTCCCGCCCCCCCTCCCCTCTTCCACCCTTCTTGGAAATTACCATATGACTCATTTATTACAAGACTGATATAACTCATCAAATATATTTTGAGAAAAATGGCTTTAGAATTTTTTATCATATTTTGCCACTATATCTTAATTTTGGAATTATAAAAATTAAGTGAGATTTAGCTAGAAATTTTGGTATTCATATTTTGAGTTATGCCACTTTTGTAGTAAATGAGCGATATTATTTCTAATAGTTAAATCTTATTTCACTGAACAGCCCTTACTCATAATCTATTTTGAGAGAAAAAGTTTCTACAATAAATTTAGGGTGACAATTTTGTTTTATAAAGCTTTATTAAATTTAAAAATTGTTTTAGAAAAATAATATTCACACTTACAATTGATGTTTTGCAAAGATAAATCTCGAACTTGTGTTTTAATAAGTTTGGCGACTGATCGAAGAGAAGTTTTAATATGAAACAGACAAACAAATTGAATAGGAACTTGATTTTTCATATAATATGTAGGTAATTTGTTTATATAGAATAAATTTCCGTAGAGAGAGAGGAAGGAGAATTTGTAAGAAAAATATTATGTTTAATGATCACACTTTGCCAATGCAACTTACAAACAAAGAGTTGCCAGATATTTTTTACTTAAACTTTATTGAAATATCGTTATAAAAGTAACAGCAATTCAAATGAAAAACATTTTAATTTTCATTAAAATAAGTATATGTTCTAGTTAGTATTGGCCAGTTTAGAGTAAACATATTAATATATTTTCATGTTTTTTTATCAATTCTGATTAAACCTTTAAAATTTCAAAACATTTAGGTATATAAATATGGGATTATTTTATAAAATGATCAAAAAATTTATTTTTTTCTACAACTGATCGATCATAAAATTAATCAAAAATCATGTATGTAAAGACAATAAATTTTTTTAAATTTATTTTTTTATTATTTCTTCAAATCTTATTTAAAAACAGTTAGGAAGATTTATACTCTTGCCCATTGGCTATAAAATGTTAATCATAATGTACCCAATGACTAAAAAAAATATAAAAATAATCGCTCCAAAACAGCAACCCCAGCAAGATGATTCATTTGTTTTATTATTAACGTTTTATGAGTTATTTTCGAAATTATGATTACTATCATCAAAATTATTTGTTGCAATGCCGAATGTGGGATCATGGTGGAAATTATGAAAAATACTTAAATCATTATTATTGGTAATATCATATATTGCGCTATTATCGTTAGCAGTATTATCGGATGTGTGGCAAGTACCACCACCACCGATATCACAGACTGTGTTACTGCCTCCACTCGTATCACATGCGCCACCACTGTCAAAAACCTCCACCGCTATCACAGCAAGTCGTATCAAATCCTCCATCCGACATTTTTTTTAGTTTTTTTGCTAGAATAATATACATACATAGATTTGTTGTAATTATTTAAATACCATTAGAATTAAGAAGATAATATTTTATAGAAAAAGAGATTTTTATTTACAATATATGTATTAAATTCAATAGATTATTTTTAAGGAAAATGTCTCCAAAAATATCGAGCATTTCTTCATATCAATGAAGATTATTCCCCACTCATTGTCCCAAAGTATGGTTATTGTTATACTGACAATTTTCATATAAGAATTATACATGCATACAGGTTGAAACCTTTGATCTATGCTGAATCCGAATCTGGCCTTAGAATTTCTACATCACATCACATTTTTGAGTTTTTGAGTAAAATCTGTTATGGAATCAGAAAGTCCAATCTACCATCTTTAAAAAGATTATAAAATACATTTTTGTCTTATTTGTAGTTAAAGTTGAACAATTAAAATTAGAATAAGATTTAAAATAATTAAAAATAATTTTACATCAGATTAAAAATAAAGATATAAAAAATGTGTTCCTTTGCAAATAGTTAGATCAACTCAACGGGACTACGAGTGGGTTACGGTGACAACTACGATAATAATGATTACAATAATTGTCATTAGAGTTGCTGTAACCCAAGCGCAACAGTTTTTCCTCATTTCTATCTTTTCTTGAAGTCGTATCCGGGCACATTGTGCAAAAGCAACATTCAACGCAACAATCCACAACTTCATCATTATCCGTATTACCGCAATCTCCACAATCGAAACATGAACAATCACCACATTCTGTATCCGACATTAAGTTAATTCTGCGAAAAAATTATAGTTTTTATTATACCAATGTAAACATACCTAAAACGCGTTAGTTTAATGAAATATGACGAGAGTTAGGAGAGCGATTAAACATATTTAATATATTATTGGATGTGCCATAGAAAACCTTTCAAACGATTATCCATAAAATACTAAAACCTAACAAGTTAGAGTGCCATATTTAGCTATGCCGAATCGTTAATACCCTTCACCAAAAATTCTAGTTTTTTTTAACATGTATGTAGAATATTTATAAAAATGTATATAACTTAAATAATAAAGAAATAATGAACCGATCCGGGAAAAATTAATCCCGATCTTATTATGAACTCATAAATTATTTACTATGAAGAGATTTTCGGATGTAGACTTTTTATAGAAGATATTACCAATTATATGTAAAATTTTATGGTAATAAATTTCCGGGAGTATGAAATTTTTATTGGATGCTATATGAAATTTTTAACCAATTCTAATAATTTTAATTTAACGCTATTTCCGGCATGAGAGTGATTTTTTTTGTTATAAACATTCAAACTAAAACTTAAAAGTTTATCTTTTATTGATTAGCAGACATTTGCTATTGACACCGATAAGAAACATATTAATCTGTATTAAATATACATATGTATGTATTTTTCAAATTCCATGATTTTTTAAAAAGTATTTTATGAAATATTTCATAAAATCACACCAAAAGTCCCAGCAAAAACTTACATTGAAATGTAAGTGGTTAAAATATAAAAAAATCACTTACACAATAGCGCGGTGATGACACTAAGACTAAAAAGTATGTATTTAAGTATATAGTTTTTTGTTAATCATTACTAGACTCCTTCTAAGTAATGCAGGTGGTATGTGGTGGTCATTGAAAAGTAAGGTTTTGAATAAATACAAGTCATTACCATTCCAGCAAAAACACAACAACATACTTTTCAATGACTACTGCATATCATCCGCATTACTTTTAAGCACTCTTATAATGACTTACATATAATCTGAGTCGCAAGTAGTTCATTTTGAGTTTTGCGTTTTTTTACTGTTTGAGCAAAAACAAAATGACTTTTTAACTCCATATCTGTAAGTATTTATTTAAGTACTTGCCTCCAATGTCAACAATGTGTTTAAATGCTAATCGAGAAGTAGTGAAAAGGGGCGATATTAGCTTTTTAGCTCATTACTTTTCAATGTAAGTTTTTGCTCCCCGAGTAATGTTATGAATATTTTCAGCATGAATAAAAAACATGGCAGAAAACTATTTTTAAATTTTGCATTACATTGAAGATCTTTTTGTAAAATTACGTTTTTATAAAAGTTTGTACAAATGCATAATACATAATTTTCTACAATAATTTCAAAGCGTAAATAAACAAATATTTAATGCAGAGAATGTGTACTATATACATTTCTTAGAATTGTTTGAATAAAAAACCCAATATGGTAATATATTTATTTTATTAATATGTACGTACAATTTCTGCTTTGCACACAAAATAAAACAAATTCTACAACTTACGTTTTAATAAATTTGCCGATTATAATTACAATGTACAACCGATCGAACAAAAAATCTTACTAATATACACAACATATTGTACCAGCCGGACAAACAAGTCGAATTCATTCAGATAATGTCGATAGGAAGTCAATTTTATCATTCAATAGATTTGTTTATATACATGTAGTTTGACAATGCCTTGAATAAGTTCCGGAGGGAGAGGGTATTATTTTGACATACATGATCAGCTGTGGTCGTTATATTGCGCAATATCTCAAACATTAAATGTATATAATAGGCTACCAGATTGTCATCAACTCCTGAAATTACGTTACAAAATATCAATTTAAATTATTTTTAAAAAGTGCTATTGATTTTATTCGAATAAAATTTGTAAAAACTATTTAATTGTAAGAAAAATGTTTTCAAATATTTAGAAAAATAGGGAAATGCAAAATAAAAAAAAATATTGAAAAAAAGTCATTGGGATCTTCAGAATTAGCTTCCAGGATTAAAAATTAAATATTGAATAACCAGGACTCGTAGGACTTTAATATTAGTACCAGTCAATATCGATGTCAATACCAACCTCGTGGTATACTTGAAACCTATTGATATATCCAATTAAAACTTGTAGCGAAAGTGTTAATAGACTCAGAAAGTGATTCTGAGAAGATCTGTTTACTCTAAGGTGGATGTAGGACCAATATTTTTTGGCCAAGATAGATTCCTTAAATTTTTTATGCACTGAACAAAAAATTGGTATTAAAATTTGCTAAATATTAGTTTAAGGCGAGATTTTCGCGTTATAGGTTTCCCGGTATAAGGTTTCCCGTTATTGTTCAGGCCTTTATTAATTTAATAAACCTAGTTTTTTTATCAGTTTTTTCACAATATTTTTTTTAAGTGTACACTAAATTTTAAAATTAATACTAAATTTTGTTTACTAAGAAAAAAAGAAGCATTAATGAATACTGTATTTTTAATCGATTTGTTTCAAAAAGTTGCAGTACATATCTTAGTCAAGACCTATCATTAGGTATTCTTATTTTCTCAATATGTTACGTATGATTAAAAAATTTAATTTGTATATTCACTAATGTAAGGAGCAAAAAAGTTCCAAAATGTAGTTTTTACCCGTTTACTTCCTAAAAGGGCCGAATTTATAAAAATTCAGACACCTGTCCGCATATACATTAGGGTTCTATAGTTGAAACGAAAAGTCGACTTTTTGACTTTTCGACTTTTTTCATTTAGTTAAAAGTCGACTTTTCGACATTTTATGAAAAGTCGACTTTTCGACATTTTATGAAAAGTCGATTTTTCGACTTTTTTCATTTAATTAAAAGTCGACTTTTCGACTATAAGTAATGTATAAATAGTCGACTTTTCGACTTTTCGATTTTTTTTTCGACTTTTTGACTATTTTCAAATTCTTTCGACTTTTTTCAACTATTTTTTTGACTTTTTTCGAGTTTTTCCGACTATTTTAGAGTTTTTGACGTTTTTTTTTTCTACTTTTTTTAAATATTCGACTATTTTTGACTTTTTTCTACAATTTTCGAGTTTTCGACTTTTTCCGACTTTTCGACTTTTTTCGACTTTTCGACTTTTTTCGACTTTTACGACTTTTTACGACTTTTCGACTTTTTTCGACTTCTTTCGACTTATCGACTTTTTTCAACTTTTCGTCTTTCAGACTTTTATTAACAAAGTCAACTTTTCGACTTTTTTCACAGACGATAGTCGAGTTATCGACTTTTTTGGAACAAGTAGTCCACTTCGACTGTTCGACAAAAAGTCGATTGTTCGACTATTCGAAAGTCGATTTATAGAACCCTAATATACATAAACATATATAAACATGTGTTGTTTTTAACTAACACAATCAAAAGATAACAGCTTGAGAGAGACAATTTGATGTGTGTCCACGTCGCTAACAAGTTGTACCTCTTTTAGTTTAGGAGATATGAGCTTCAATTTACCCGTCTTTAACCCCTAAATATTCGAATTTATAAAAATACAGGTTATTAATTTCAACCGTTTACGCTTGCAATGACTGTGAATTAGTCAGTCTTTATATAGTAAACAAATTGATATACAGTCAACCCCGTATAAAACGATGTCGGTTTATAACGAATTCTCGGCACCGCAGATTAAATAAAAAGTACGCTTTGATACATTTGACATATTTCCATCTCTGCTATAAACACAAACAATACTATGATTTCACAACATTTAGCTTTCATATATGAGTGTTGAAAAGAAATGTTAATTTTTATGTGTTTCTCGATAACAAACAAATACTATGAAAATATGTATTTAAAAATATGTATTACTAAATTACACCGTTTATTTTGGCTCTAACATTTTGTTAACAACTAAAAAGAATTGCATTGCTACGCTCCCGTATTTCTTTTATATACTATCTAAATTCTCGTATAGTTGCATAGCAATTTGTAAAAAAAAACACAAAAAAATTGCATTTTATTTAAATTAGGACTTAGTTTTATCAGGTACTTATATGTAGTTTTAGCACGCATGTATACATGTGTCCTAAATTTCAACCAATTAAGCTGCTGGAACTATTCTTAAATTAAAAATCTTCCAAAATTTTGCTGAAAACTTAGCCGCCGTACTGCCAATTTTATTCCGCCGTCAACATTTTTTCGACGTTTATGTTTGTTGGCGCAGATCTCTGGTGACAGCTGCATTTTTTGTGCACATTTTGCACACCGGTGTTTTTCCCGCGCACGATTTTTTGTACAAAGCAGGTAAAAAGAAAAATAGTTGAACATTGAAGATTATTGCCCAACAAAAAAAGGTAAAATTTAAATAATTCTGCAGATATATCTTTCTAAACATCATTAAGAAATCAGATTGCGAAGCAAACACACTGCATTCAAGGCAATTGCAGTCCAAAAATATTACGCGACAGAAATTCCCCCGAAAAACAAGCTAAAGTTGTGAAAACTTTATTGCGTTTCCACATTTATCAGGCATAAAACAAACGAAAAAGAGAAATAACGAGAAGAAAAAATAAAAACGTTTTCGAAAGATTGTTGGTGAGTTGTTTGTGTTCAATAAATTTAAGTGAAAAATTTTCTAATTTCTGGTGCATTTTTTAGATTTATTAAGAAAAATAAATATTAAAACACATCAAAAATGCCACGCCTTGCAGTAAGAAGAAAAGCTGAACCCATCGAAGTTGACAACAATAATAAAGGTGAAAATGAAGCGCCAAAATCAAAGATGCAAAGATTATCGTTTCAGTTGCCTTTACCACAGAGACCACGTGTTGTGGGGCGTGCTTTAGTTTGTGGCCAGGGCGACATGGGCCAACTGGGTTTGGGGGATGACGAGTCCAAATTTGAACGCAAACGACCGGCTTTGATAGATAAAATCACAAATGTGGTAGATGTTAAGGCGGGTGGTATGCACAATTTGGTATTGACACATGATGGTCGCGTTTATTCATTTGGTTGCAATGACGAAGGTGCTCTTGGCCGTGACAGCAGCGAAGAAGGTTCCGAATTTGAACCTCGACCCATAGATTTGCCCGGCAAAGTATTGAAAATCTCGGCGGGTGATTCGCACTCGGCTTGTTTACTGGAAGATGGCCGAGTTTACGCTTGGGGTTCATTCCGAGATTCTCACGGCAACATGGGTTTGACACTGGAGGGCAACAAACGTTTGCCCATTGATGTTTTACCTGGTTTGACTTGCTGTGACATTGCCTCGGGAGCCGATCATTTAGTTATCTTAACTTGCCAGGGCAAAGTATATACCGTGGGCTGTGCCGAACAAGGACAACTGGGTAGAGTATCTTTGAGATCTGCCTCCGGCGAGGGACGTAGAGGTAAAACAGAATTATTGCGTCCTGGTCTGGTAATAGTTAAACGCGGCAAACCTATAGAAGCTATATGGGCCACCAACTACTGTACTTTCCTAAGAGAATCGCAGACTGGCAATATCTGGGCATTTGGTTTAAATAATTACAAACAATTGGCCTATGCTAAAGACATGTCCACCATCATCAATCCCATAAATACGAAATTTGAAAATATCAAACAGATTGCAGGTGGCCAACATCACACTCTAGTACTTAAGGAAGATGGCTCGGTGTTTGTAATTGGTAGAAAAGATTATGGCCGTCTGGGTTTGGGATCAGTACCAGAAGATGTAACTGACCTACAGCCAATAGCTGCCTTGAAAGGCAAAAAGATCGTTAGTGTTTCGTGCGGTGAGGCTCAATCTTTTGCCCTCACTGACGATGGAAAATTATACTCCTGGGGTATGGGTTCCAATCACCAATTAGGCACAGGTTCAGAAGATGATGCTCTGGAGCCAGTATTGATTGTTAGTAAGCAGACAGAGGGAAAACGTATTATAAGAGCCGCCAGTGGTGGCCAGCATAGCATATTTTTAGTGGAGGATGAAAATCAACCTGCCTTCGAAGAGGTTAAGGAAAAGGAAACCGAAAAGGAGAAACCTGCTGCAAAACAAGACAAGAAGAAATCTGCCAAGGAAGCTTCTACTAAAAATATAGTAGAAACTGAGAAGGTGGATGAAGATAATACAGCAGATGATGCAAAAGCCAAAACAAATGGCGACAAAATACCGGAGGAAGATGCAAAATCAAATGCAACAGATGATGATAAAAAAGAGGAAGATTCCAAGGCTTCAGCAGCAGCACCACCACCAGCTAAAAGAGGACGCAAGAAAAAATAAGTTGTCCGGTAAGACAAAAGGTCATCATCAATACCCAAACAACAACTGCTAGTACATAATAAAATTAATATGACTTAAGTAGCTATTGTACTTTTTTATATACAACTATTATTCTCCTTTAAATAATAACCTCTAGTTTTTCGTTTTGTTACTTCTAACACAATCTAATCTATAAATTTAAAATTAAATTTGATTATAAGATTGTATTGAATTGATTACCTCATGTTATATGCATACTATTATTAACTAATTTCTTTTACTTTTATCTCAGTTAAAAATCCTCCTTTAACTTTGACATTTTGAATTGGTAATAGTATGTAATTTTGTATTCTTTTCTTAAACCAAAAAAAAAAAAAAAAAAAAACTTGTAACTTGTTTTTAAAACCTTAATAAAATCAACAACCTAGACTCTCATTCCCCGCTTTTATGTTTAATTTGTTTATTCTTTTTTCATTTGCTTTTTTGTTTTTCCTTAACCCTGAAATATTTTCCTTTATTAAGTACATAATATATTTTTTGTGTTGTGTTTTCCCGCAACATTTGTTTGCTGAATATTTTTGTCTTTTTGTTTTATTAAAATAAAAACTACTACTTAAGATGACTTTCTATTTAAATTTTAAGTTTATTATTTGCGTTTTTTTAAATTTATGTACATACACGTTTCATGTGTAAGTTTATTTTTTGTCTTTTGATTTGATGAAATAAAATAAATTGTTTGAAAATAAATGTAACAGACGCTTGTTGTTGAAATCACGTTAAAAAGTGAAATGCTTATGGGGTATAGAAACATAGATAGATAGATAGATAAATAGATAGATAGATAGATAGATAGATAGATAGATAGATAGATAAATAGATAGATAAATAGATAGATAAATAGATAGATAGGTAGATAGATAGATAGATAGATAGATAGATAGATAGATAGATAGATAGATAGATAGATAGATAGATAGATAGATAGATAGATAGATAGATAGATAGATAGATAGATAGATAGATAGATAGATAGATAGATAGATAGATAGATAGATAGATAGATAGATAGATAGATAGATAGATAGATAGATAGATAGACAGATAGACAGATATATAGATAGATAGATAGATAGATAGATAGATAGATAGATAGATAGATAGATAGATAGGTAGATAGATATATAGATAGATAGATAGATAGATAGATAGATAGATAGATAGATAGATAGATAGATAGATAGATAGATAGATAGATAGATAGATAGATAGATAGATAGATAGATAGATAGATAGATAGATAGATAGATAGATAGATAGATAGATAGATAGATAGAAAGATAGATAGATAGATAGATAGATAGATAGATAGATAGATAGATAGATAGATAGATAGATAGATAGATAGATAGATAGATAGATAGATAGATAGATAGATAGATAGATAGATAGATAGATAGATAGATAGATAGATAGATAGATAGATAGATAGATATATAGATAAATAGATAGATAGATAGATAGATAGATAGATAGATAGATAGATAGATAGATAGATAGATAGATAGATAGATAGACAATTTCCTAGTGTTATATGAAAATCACATTATGAATACATATCAATTCTCAATACTCTCAATACCTTTTTACTAAAAACAGTCTTATGATAATTAAACTAAAATCACTTAAAAATTCAGAAATTATACTATTTAAGGTTTTTGGAAATGTGCTATTTATTATATTATTTAGGCAGACTTTACAAGTCTCATATCACATTCATAGCTTAAAAACTATATTTACTTAAATAAATAAATTAAATAACTTACATCTACATAAAAGTTACTTTGCAAAAGTGCAGACAAAGATATATAAAGTTTCTAAATTCTTCCAGATAACAAAATTTAATAATTAACATCCAATCGCAGCTTCAAAATGCGATTCTACCATCTTGCAGCACATTTCAGGCGTAATTTTGTTCCATTCTTTCAGCAAAGCTTTTTGTAAACTAGTTTTGCATTCTATAGTATATTTTCTCATTTGATATTCCAAATATAATAGCAAATTTTCTAATGGATTAAAATCTGGACTTTTATCTAGTTTGGTAAGATTTTTTGCATGCCAGGCCTCCACATCCTGTTCGATGTAAAAAACATTGTGGTGTAATCCCAGTTTTGTTGAGTTAGCATCAGATCTTTCTGCTAAAATAGCGGAAAATAGCTGCTGGTGTCTGATTTCATGATAAAATCTCAAATGTCCAACTCCGTGGGCTGACATACAACACCAAACCATGACAAAATCAGTTCTTTGCTCAGACCACGCCATACGCCTGCCATCTAAACCGAAAATGTTGAACTCGCTAAAGACAACGTTTTTCCAAAAGGTTATATCTTTATTAAGATAAGTCTTTGGCTCAGGATCTTTTGATTTCGCTTGAACCGTAATACGTCTCTGCCAATTATGCTCTCTTAATACCCGACGAACAGTTTCATCAGAAACATTTATATTTAAATGTTTCCGCAGTTCTTTATTAATCTCTGGTGCAGATAGATGTGGATTTTCGCGAATTTTATTGATAACTTCTTTCTCTTCACACTTTGACAGTACCTTTGGACGTCCCGATCTTGGTAGATTTTCAATGGACTTTCGTTTTTGAATTTGTTTTATAATGTAGTTTATTTTTCTAGGAGTTCGATTAACAATTTTCGAAATACTTTTATTGGAGCGACCTTCATGATGTAGTTGTAAAATTAACTTCTTTTCAGAATCGTCATACTCTTTTCCTTTGGGCATTTTTGTAAAGTGTGAACGCAGCGATGTTAAACAATAGAATAATACAACTTTTATGAAATTAAGGGTTTATAAAGCATCAAAGAAATTTTTTTTGTTGTTTGCAAAAAAAAAAAAAAACTCAACATAACAGGTAAAAATTAAATTTGAATTTACAGGTCAAAAAAGTAATTTGTATATTACCTTTTCTTAACGATAATTTTGTTTTTTTTTTTTTTTTTTTTTTTTTCAGAAATAATATTCAAAAAAACAGGTAAAAGTAAATTTTTATCTTCCAGCAGTGTAAAATAGGAAAATCAAGCAAATAATAAACAAATTTTTGTGCATTTGTTATTGCACTTTATTATTTTTCCCCAGAATTTGCAGTCCAATAAAATATTTTTGTTGGTTTTTTAAATTATTTTTTAATTATTTCTTGGAATTTATTATTTTGTTAAAAAGAACACGTGTTATGTATTTTTTAATTGTAATCTACAAAAATCATGTCCTTAGTGTAAACTTACATATTTGCATTAAAATGTTGATACGAAATAATAAAGCAATTACAAAATAACCCAGCAAAAAATTTTGCAGTAATACAAAGTGAATAAAAAATTTTTATGATTTCAAAATTCAAGATTTCCTAAATTCAAGCAGATGAAAAATTTCGAAACCCAGAGACCAAAGTATACTTTTCATATGGATTAATGTCCGTATGTGGACTCGTGTCATGAAGTTTGAAACGCTATAACAGCGCAAACATACCTTTATTTATAAAATCGGTTATGTTATCTGAAATCTAAATCTACTAAGTCGAACACTATATAAACAGCTAAACAGAGAAGCACTTAATTCAGAAATTCAAAAATCGTGGTGGTTATCATCACCTAAGGTCCACAAAATCAATATTTTTTTTATCATACACTTAAATATACATACATATTTATATAGGATCCAAAAACGAGATTAACTTATACTATAGGGCTATTTGTCCCCATACTTTTAGGGGCCATCTATCTATTTGTTCATCATATTAGGGATTCAAGATATTTTCGCCATATTGAAGTAGTAGTAACATTCCGAAGTTATAAATTCTGTTATGCCATTTGATGGCAATACTTGCTTAACCCTTTCAGGGTCAAAAATAATTTATGTCTAGAAAAAAACTTGAAAACTTATATTTAAGATAATTTGAGTATGCTGAATCCGGGAAAAATAATATTTTTTTGAATTTGAGTTTTCCCTAGTGAGTTATAGAAGGTCAAAGTTAAATGTCAAAAAGTACCACCAATATTTTTTATGAATTTTTTTTTGTAAAATGTCTTCTTAAACATCTTTCAATACAATACAATTTAAATCTGCATAGTCCGATCTCCTAAAATACAAATTTTTGACCATTAAATGAAGCTGTTTTTTAAACGTTGTTAAAAAGCACTTTTTAAAAAGTAGTCATAAGTGACAATTTCTTAAAATCTGATTTTTAAATACTTTAAAAATACGGAAGATCTTTCAAAATCTCAATTATAGATATAATAAAGTCTTCATTTTCATCTAAAAGAAAAAAATAAAACTAAAGTTAAATATTATACCCAAAAAATGCTTAAAAACAGAGTCTATTGTAATGTCGAATATATTCGACAAAACCACGGGAAGGGTTAAAAAGTAACCTTTATTTTGAAGCGCCTAACTTTACGATATCTCAAAAACAAATAGTGATAAGTTCCAGGAAATAATAAAAATACCTAAATAAAAACACAAGAAAAATGCAAATTACTTTTTTAAAAATTGTTATATAAAACAATAAAATGCACAAAATATACATAAATTTCTTTGAACAACAGGTAGGTAAATTACTTGTTTGATATACTGTATACCATTTCAAACGCATTAACTAGTAATAAAACATTTTCTAAGAATCTATGGGTAAATACAGGTAGATCTCATAAGTATGCGAATTTTCACAAACATACCTGTGATCCTTTATAAACCATTTACTTTCATAAACATTACATCATTTAGTTATTTATCATTGTTGCGTTAACACTTCACAAAAATGCCCAGAGGAAAAGAGTTTGATGAATCTGAAAAGAAATTCATTTTACAACTACATCATGAAGGTCGATCGAATAAATGTATTGCGAAAATTGTTAATCGAAATCCTAGAGCAATAAACTACATTTTAAAACATATTCAAAAACGAAAATCCATTGAAAATCTACCAAGATCAGGACGTCCAAAGGTGCTGACAAAAGGTGAAGAAAAAGAAATTATCAATAAAATTCGCGAAAATCCACATCTATCTGCACCAGAGATTAATAAGGAATTGCGAAAACATTTAAATATAAATATTTCCGATGAAACGGTTCGCAAGGTATTGCGAAAGCATAATTGGCAGAGACGTATTACGAATCAAGTTAAATCTAAAGATTCTGAGCCAAAGACTTATCTTAATAAAGATATAACCTATTGGAAGAATGTTGTCTTTAGTGAATTTAACATTTTCGGTTTTAGACGGCAGACGTATGGCAGGGCTTAAGCAAGTAGCTGATAATGTCATGGTTTGGTGTTGTATGTCAGCCCACGGAGTTGGACATTTGAGTTTTTATGATGAAATCAGAGACGAGCAGCTATTTTCCGCAATTTTAGCAGAGAGATCAGATGCTAACTCAACAAAACTGGGATTACATTACAATGTTTATCACATCCAACAGGATGAAGAGACAAAGCACAACGCCTGGGATGCAAAAAATCTTACCAAACTAAATAAAAGTCCGGATTTTAATCCATTGGAGAATTTGCTCTTATATTTGGAATATCAAATGAGAAAATATACTATAGAATGCAAAACTAGTTTACAAATAGCTTTACTGGAAGAATGGAACAAAATTACGCCTGAAATGTGCTGCAAGATGGTAGAATCGCACTTGGAAGCAGCGATTGGATGTTGATTATTCTTTATTGTTTTGATGTTTGTACTTTTGCAAAGTAATTTTAATTTTAAGTTATGGATTGGGGGGGAGGAAAGAGAAAAGGGGGAAGAAAGGGGAGAGGAGACGGGAAAGGGCGAAAGAATGGAAAGAAACAGCAGGAGGACGAAAAACGAGAAAACCAGGGCGGAAGGGGGACGGGAGGGGAGGGGAGAGAGAGCAGAAAGAGAGCGGGCGAGCGAGCGAGCGAGAGAGCGAGCGAGCGAGCGAGCGAGCGAGCGAGCGAGCGAGCGAGCGAGCGAGAGAGCGAGCGAGCGAGCGAGCGAGCGAGCGAGCGAGCGAGCGAGGAGCGAGCGAGCGAGCGAGCTAGCGAGGAGCGAGCGAGAGCGAGCGAGCGAGAGCTAGCGAGCGAGCGAGGAGAGCGAGCGAGCGAGCGAGCGAGCGAGCGAGCGAGGAGCGAGCGAGCGAGGCGAGCGAGCAGGAGCGAGCGAGCGAGCGAGCGAGCGAGCGAGCGAGCGAGCGAGCGAGAGAGCGAGCGAGCGAGCGAGCGAGCGAGAGACGACCGAGCGACGAGCGAGAGAGCGAGGAGCGAGAGAGCGAGCGAGCGAGCGAGCGAGCGAGCGAGCGAGCGAGCGAGCGAGGAGCGAGCGAGCGAGCGAGCGAGCGAGAGAGCGAGCGAGCGAGCGAGCGAGCGAGCGAGGCGAGCGAGCGAGCGAGCGAGAGAGCGAGCGAGCGAGCGAGCGAGCGAGCGAGCGAGCGAGCGAGCGAGCGAGCGAGCGAGCGAGGAGCGAGGAGAGAGCGAGCGAGAGAGCGAGCGAGCGAGCGAGCGAGCGAGCGAGCGAGCGAGCGAGCGAGCGAGCGAGAGAGCGAGCGAGCGAGCGAGCGAGCGAGCGAGCGAGCGAGGGAGCGAGGGAGCGAGGGAGCGAGCGAGGAGGAGCGAGCGAGCAGCGAGCGAGCGAGCGAGCGAGCGAGCGAGCGAGCGAGCTAGCGAGCGAGCGAGGAGGAGCAGCGAGACCGAGCGAGCGAGCGAGCGAGCGAGCGAGCGAGCGAGCGAGCGAGCGAGCGAGCGAGCGAGCGAGCGAGCGAGAGCGAGCGAGCGAGCGAGCGAGCGAGCGAGCGAGCGAGCGAGCGAGGAGAGCGAGCGAGCGAGCGAGCGAGCGAGCGAGCGAGCGAGCGAGAGAGCGAGCGAGCGAGCGAGCGAGCGAGCGAGAGAGCGAGCGAGCGAGCGAGCGAGCGAGCGAGCGAGCAGCGAGCGAGCGAGCGAGCGAGCGAGCGAGCGAGCGAGCGAGCGAGCGAGCGAGCGAGCGAGCGAGCGAGAGAGCGAGCGAGCGAGCGAGCGAGCGAGCGAGCGAGCGAGCGAGCGAGCGAGCGAGCGAGCGAGCGAGCGAGCGAGCGAGCGAGCGAGCGAGCGAGCGAGCGAGCGAGCGAGCGAGGCGAGCGAGCGACGAGCGAGCAGAGCGAGCGAGCGAGCGAGCGAGCGAGCGAGCGAGGCGAGCGAGCGCGAGCGAGCGAAGCGAGGCGAGCGAGCGAGCGAGCGAGCGAGCGAGCGAGCGAGCGAGAGGAGCGAGCGAGCGAGCGAGCGAGCGAGCGAGCGAGCGAGCGAGCGAGCGAGCGAGCGAGCGAGAGCGAGCGACGAGCGAGCGAGCGAGCGAGCGAGCGAGCGAGCGAGCGAGCGAGCGAGCGAGCGAGGGGGGAGGGCGAGCGAGCGAGCGAGCGAGCGAGCGAGCGAGCGAGCGAGCGAGCGAGCGAGCGAGCGAGCGAGCGAGCGAGCGAGCGAGCGAGCGAGCGAGGAGCGAGCGAGCGAGCGAGCGAGCGAGCGAGCCGAGCGAGCGAGCGAGCGAGCGAGCGAGCGAGCGAGCGAGCGAGCGAGCGAGCGAGCGAGCGAGCGAGCGAAGCGAGCGAGCGGAGCGAGCCGAGCGAGCGAGCGAGCAGCGAGCGAGCGAGCGAGCGAGCGAGCGAGAGAGCGAGCGAGCGAGCGAGCGAGCGAGCGAGCGAGCGAGGCGAGGAGCGAGCGAGCGAGCGAGCGAGCGAGCGAGCGAGCGAGCGAGCGATGCGAGCGAGCGAGCGAGCGAGCGAGCGAGCGAGCGAGCGAGCGAGCGAGCGAGCGAGCGAGCGAGCGAGCGAGCGAGCGAGCGAGCGAGCGAGCGAGCGAGCGAGCGAGCGAGCGAGCGAGCGAGCGAGCGAGAGCGAGCGAGCGAGCGAGCGAGCGAGCGAGCGAGCGAGCGAGCGAGCGAGCGAGCGAGCGAGCGAGCGAGCGAGCGAGCGAGCGAGCGAGCGAGCGAGCGAGCGAGCGAGCTAGCGAGCGAGCGAGCGAGCGAGCGAGCGAGCGAGCGAGCGAGCGAGCGAGCGAGCGAGCGAGCGAGCGAGCGAGCGAGCGAGCGAGCGAGAGCGAGCGAGCGAGCGAGCGAGCGAGCGAGCGAGCGAGCGAGCGAGCGAGCGAGCGAGCGAGCGGCGAGCGAGCGAGCGAGCGAGCGAGCGAGCGAGCGAGCGAGTCGAGCGAGCGACGAGCGAGCGAGCGAGCGAGCGAGCGAGCGAGCGAGCGAGCGAGCAGCGAGCGAGGAGCGAGCGAGCGAGCGAGCGAGCGAGCGAGCGAAGCGAGCGAGCGAGCGAGCGAGCGAGCGAGCGAGCGAGCGAAGCGAGCGAGCGAGCGAGCGAGCGAGCGAGCGAGCGAGAGCGAGCGAGCGAGCGAGCGAGCGAGCGAGCGAAGCGAGCGAGCGAGCGAGCGAGCGAGCGAGAGAGCGAGCGAGCGAGCGAGCGAGCGAGCGAGCGAGCGAGCGAGCGAGCGAGCGAGCGAGCGAGCGAGCGAGCGAGCGAGCGAGCGAGCGAGCGAGCGAGCGAGCGAGAGCGAGCGAGCGAGCGAGCGAGCGAGGAGCGAGCGAGCGAGCGAGCGAGCGAGCGAGCGAGCGAGAGCGAGCGAGGAGCGAGCGAGCGAGCGAGCGAGCGAGCGAGCGAGCGAGCGAGCGAGCGAGAGGCGAGCGAGCGAGCGAGCGACGAGCGAGCGAGCGAGCGCAGCGAGCGAGCGAGCGAGCGAGCGAGCGAGCGAGCGAGCGAGCGAGCGAGCGAGCGAGCGAGCGAGCGAGCGAGCGAGCGAGCGCGCGAGCGAGCGAGAGAGCGAGCGAGCGAGCGAGCGAGAGAGCGAGCGAGCGAGTCGTAGCAAGGAGCCAGCAAGCGAGCGAGAGGCGAGCGAGCGAGCAATTCGAGCGAGCGAGCGAGTCTAGCGAGCGAGGCTAGCGAGCTAGCGATCGATCGAGCGAGCGAGCGAGCTAGCGTCGAGCGATCGCGCAGCGATGCTAGCGATCGAGATCTAGCGAGCGAGCAGCTATCGAGCGAAGCGATATGCGATCTAGAGCGATCTATCTATCGAGGCGTAGCTAGCGAGCGAGCTGAGCGATCGAGTAGCTGCGTGCCTCGATCTAGAGCGAGCGAGCGAGCTAGCGAGCGATCGAGCGAGCGGAGCGAGCGAGCGAGCGAGCGAGCGAGTCGAGCGAGCGAGCGAGCGCGAGCTAGCAAGCGAGCGAGCGAGCGAGCGAGCGAGCGAGCTAGCGAGCGAGCGAGCGAGCGAGCGAGCTAGCGAGCGAGCGAGCGAGCGAGGCGGCGAAGCGAGCTAGAGAAGCGAGCGAGCGAGCGAGTCGCAGCGAGCGAGCGAGCGAGCGAGCGAGCGAGCGAAGCTACGGAGCGAGCGAGCGAAGCGATGCGTAGCGAGCGAGCGAGCGAGCGAGCGAGCGAGCGAGCGAGCGAGCGAGCGAGCGAGCGAGCGAGCGAGCCGAGCGAGCGAGCGAGCGAGCGAGCGAGGAGCGAGCGAGCGACGAGCGAGGGAGCGAGCGAGCGAGCGATCGAGCGAGCGAGCGAGCGAGCGAGCGAAGCGACGAGCGAGAGCGAGCGAGCGAGAGAGCGAGCGAGCGAGCAGCGAGCGAGCAGCGAGCGAGCGAGCGGAGCGAGCGAGCGAGCGAGCGAGCGAGCGAGCGAGCGAGCGAGCGAGCGAGCGAAGCGATCAGCGAGCGAGCAGCGAGCGAGCGATCGAGAGCGAGCGAGCGAGCGACGAGCGAGCGAGCGAGCGAGCGAGAGAGCGAGCGACGAGCGAGCGAGCGAGCGAGCGAGCGAGCGAGCGAGCGAGCGAGCGAGCGAGCGAGAGAGGGAGCAGCGAGCGAGAAGCGAGCGAGCGAGCGAGCGAGCGAGCGAGCTAGCGAGCAGCGAGCGAGCGCGCGACGAGCGAGCGAGCGAGCGAGCGAGCGAGAGAGCGAGCGAGCGAGAGAGCGAGCGGAGCGAGCGAGCGAGCGAGCGAGCTAGCGAGCGAGCGAGGAGCGAGCGACTAGCGAGCGACGAGCGAGCGAGCGAGCGAGCGAGCGAGCGAGCGAGCGAGGCGAGCGAGCGAGCGAGCGAGCGAGCAGAGCGAGCGAGCGAGCGAGCGAGCGAGCGACCGAGCGAGCGAGCGAGCGAGCGAGCGAGCGAGCGAGCGAGCGAGCGAGCGAGCGAGCGAGCGAGCGAGCGAGCGAGCGAGCGAGGAGCAAGCGAGCGAGCGAGGAGGTAGCGAGCGAGCGAGCGAGCGTAGCGAGCGAGCGAGGAGCGAGCGAGCGAGCGAGGAGCGAGCGAGCGAGCGAGCGAGCGAGCGAGCGAGAGAGCGAGCGAGCGAGCGAGCGAGCGAGCGAGCGAGCGAGCTAGCGAGCGAGCGAGCGAGCGAGCGAGCGAGCGAGCGAGCGAGCGAGCGAGCGAGCGAGGAGCGAGCGTAGCGAGGAGCGAGCGAGGATCTATTTATCTATCTACATCTTATCTATCTATTATCTCTCTATCTGTCTATCTATCCTATCTATCTATCTATCTATCTATCTATCTATCTATCTATCTTCTTACCTTTGGATAAATATTTAATATTTACGAATATCCGAAGACAATATTTAAAATTTTAATTTATTTTTATTTCTTTAAAATTAAAAGAACGAAAAAATTAATGAGCGTAAAATAATGATTTTACATTATATAGGCAAATTATTTAAACATATTATTTTTTTATTATTTCATAAAATTTATATGTATATTT